TAATTTTTAAGTGGCGTTAAATAAATAATTAGATAATTTCTATATTTATCTACATTTTTGCCACCATTAGGTTCACCAGGCATCCAAGCAGCGAACGTTATATCGGATCCATCAGCGTTGACGAACATTCCATCAGAACCGCGATCGTTGACGCCGATCCATACAGAATAGTCTATGTCTTGTAAAAGTGTTATCAAATAAGCTGTATAGAAACAAAATTATAACTTATTAATGATAATTTTTATAACAATCAACATCATTAATATCATTGTCATGGTTGTCTTCATCATAAATAATAATCATTTACATCATCACCATAATATCATTATCATTCCTGTCGTCGAGCGCGTCGTACTGATGTCTTTTTTTTCTGACCATCGGTACAATGCCGTAGCCAAGATTTTCAAACAGTGCGGGACAATGTCAGTGTGGACCCACTTTACGCGTAAACTCAAATAATTTGGACCCATTTTCTTAAAAGGTTGACCCATTTAACTAAAAAATATGAAAAATCTGGACCTAATTCCTTAAAATTTAATCCTTTTTAGGCTAAATATGAGAAATCTGGATCCTTCAAAAAAGTTGCATAATTTGGATCTATTTTTATAATGTGGACCCATTCTTTGTGGACCCATTACAGAAATTGTGTGGGACTGCCCCAACTGTCCCAATAGCTGGCTACGGCATTGCATCGGTATCATCATTATCATTGCAATTAAACCATAATAATATTTGTTAACATAATATTAAAAATCGCATATTATACTGTACCTTGATCGTATTGATCATTGACTGATACAAGTCCGCCCCCATTGCTTTCACAGAAGGATTTCGCATTTGTCCAATTCTTCTTTTCTTGAAAAAAGTTATAACACTTGTTGCCTCTGGTCCACCAACCCGATGGACAATATCCAGGCATAACAGTGGTTGGTGCGACTGCGGTTGTTATGGCGTCATTTGAGCGCTTTTTACAGACAAAAGCTCGCGTCTCAACACAAGTCTCATGGGCCATTTTGCCTAATATAAGAATAATGAGTAGCCAAATATTAAAAAGGTTATGTCGTTTCTTTTTAATAGGTTTTTTTTTTAATGATTTCATATTGTTTTACTACATCACCATTGATAATTATTTTTCCTGTCAGATACTTACGATAGAGTAAGAATTAATTGCTCACATTTGTAATTGACGGGTAAAAATAAATAAATACTGTATAATGTAACATCAAGATTTATATCAAAGCAGTTAAAAGTTTTGTTGGTGATAGACAATATTAAGAACGTACCTTCAGTTGTTGTCATATGTATGCATTGTTCATTGTTGTTCATATTATTTGGTTGGTTGATGTCCCATCGGAAGTAATTTGCAACAGTACGGTCAGAATTTACATAGCCTAGAGCCCCGTAGTATTCCCTCATACCAATCCACACTTGGTACGTCGGAAGTTTAGCCGCCTGTAAACAAGTGATGATAACCTCAGTAACTATTCTTTTTAAAAACTGTTAACATTAAAATTGTTCATTCTATAGTAGTGTAGTTTGCAAATTAAGCCGCGGGCACACACTTAGTCGATGCGATTCCATGAAAACGCCAAGGCGACAATGAGGCGTGCGAAACGGTGTTTAATGAGGATTCGATCAGACAGCCACCGACACTCGGCAGACTACGTCGTGTCGTCAAGCGCTCACGTAAATCTGCGATAAATTCATCGGCCTGGCGCACCGTGTGCCCGAATTTACATCTGGATGAAAATATCATTCTTTTCCAGCGTTTTAGGTTTTGAACCCAGTACAGTGTGATTTATAGGCAGCTTATAGTAAAGTTAATCAGCAAAAAATTCAATAGTTTCAGTAAGCAAATAGGATAATAAGAAAATATACCGGGAAGTGAAGATAACAATCTCAATGACAAGCTTTTCAGGGATCACGGATTCATAATTACAGGTTTGTATTAATACTGTAAGACTTACTATTGATCTGATAAAGTTCATTTCATCAAAACTATGTATCGACACTATGTTGGCATCTTCTCTCAAGCAAACACTCTCAGCGTCAGACCATGTTTGTCGTTGAGAGTCGCCATAGAACTTATAGCATTGGTTGTTTGACGGAAACAACAGCCAGCCATCACCACACCCAGGTGCTGTAGTGTAATGATTTAGATCAAATATTGATATTATGCATAGAAAATAATTTTATGCATTATTCTCACAACCACCATCATCATAATAATGACAACATATAATAGCATCGATCAAATTTCACACATTTTTAGAGTAAAATCACTCCTAGAAACAAAATTTCTTTTTTTAAAAGAACAAAAAAAAAAGTAATTAATTTGTAAATAAATAATTTCATTGTTGTGGATTAAATTTCACTATTTTGAATTCGAAGAGTGTGATTTATAATTTTCTAAAATTCTTTACAAAGTCACCTACATTGTATTCCGGTTACAGTTGGCAAAGGCGTGTTCCCATCAGAGCCTGTGAATTTCGAAACATTAAACTTTAAGGAATATTGTGTTCACAATTATTTTACTTGCTGCCACCTCGCCATCAGAATACGGGTGTGACAAAAAATGCAGAAAATAGTCGTATAGAGAGGTATTACACTAAAGAAACATAAAATAAATAAATAAAATAAACAATATTCCCAGTAAGGAGAAGCGATAAGATTTTAATGTCTTCAGAATAGGAATGTTTACCTTTTCGCACATAGAAGAATTATGGAAAAGGTTGCATTTATGGCAGGCAACATATGCCAAAAAACTCCAAAAACAAAAGAAAGATAAAATGAATAAAGTTAAAAAAAAACGATCGCAATTAGGAAAAAAGCGATAAGTAAGATTTCAAAATGTCTTCAGAATAGGAACATTTACCTTTTCGCAATTTACAGATCCAATTTCGTTTTACATCGCAGACATTGTCTGCCCAGCCGTTCGTGTCCATGTTGTAAAGCATTTCAATACAGTTCTCAGTGTGATCTTCGTTATTCGGTTGTCCAGAAGCCCAGGGCAAGTAGTTAACTGGACTACCATCAGTCCACTCGTACCCTAACTAGCATTATGATGGTGCATGCTTATTATTTAGAACCTGGGCCTTTGGATAAAAGTTATTCTTACCTGTCTGATATTGAAACTAAGTCTGCATTCAAGTCACGTTGGCACTTGACAGTGGCCGTATCCCAATCCTGCTCAGTAGTATCGAATAGGTAACACGATGAACCATACCCTTTCCACCCCTTAAAAACCAACATTAATGAATTAACAGTGAAATTGAACGATGTAAGAGTTTTATATTTGTACGTGTAATTACTATACAAGCACAATTCGTCGGGGAGAAAAAAAAATTATGTATTGTATTTTCTACAGATTAGTAGAATTTTAGGGGGCTTCGCCCCTGGACCACTTTTGAAACCTTTTAATCGAAGCTCGACCACGCCCAATTTGCTTTCGTCGGGGAAAGCTTACCCCTCGTCAGGGGCATCGGACCCCCCGTCGGGGACCTCGCCCCCCCCCCGTCGGGCAAATCCTGGCGCCACCCCTGTTGAGAGCCCGAGCAAACTGCTTCCACGATATGATTTAAATAATGCTGAACATTTACATATCTAGGCCGACTCAGAGACACATTATTACCAAACACAAATTTTTAATTGCTACTGGATGGTCTACTTGTCTTCATGGTCTACTTGTTTATCATTCATTATGAGACATTCTGAATTAGTTACCGATACATTATATTACATAAACAAAAATCATGGCATAGATCTATGTCGTTGACACCTTTCTTCAATACGCGTACACCAAGCTGAATACAAAGCTACGCTGATAAAGTCTGGTATCATAAGCATTGATCACTAAAATTAAAGACAACGTTATAAAATATAAATAAATAAAGAAACACCTATAACATATTCTATCAAACTTACGAATTTGCAACCTGATGACGTAGGCGGGACCAGTGTAATTGGAAGTATTTCTTTGGATTTTTTGCATACGTAACCCATATTTTTGGTATCGCAGCTTTGGTCATTCCACTTTCCTGCGTAGTAACGGTAACCAGTGTCATACACACCTGTCTTATCAAGTTGAAAGTTTGCAAGATAGTAAGAAACATTAAAAAAATATATAGGTGAAAACGAAGATTACTTAAATTACGACTTATACTGAATTTTCGCAAGGTGGTTCTTGACGCTATAGGTGAGCAGGGCGTCACAACAGATGCACCGTACATTCAATCAGAGTTCAAGAAAGTGAAAGTTTTAGACTGGGATGACTGCAAAAATAGTTTTTAAGAAATTGAAAGTAGGCAAAAAATTAAAATGCGATGATGGTGTGTGCAGAAATTGATAATCTTTCTATAATACACCAACAATGATAACAATGACATATAGCCATATTTTTACCAAGTTACTCAATGTTACGGCTAATATAGCTCGGTCGTACTTTTTACAACATTGAAAGACTGATGAAAACTGTATCCGGTTGTGTAATAATGTAGAACGCAGTAAAGTAATTAAAAGCAAACACAAAAAGTTCAACTTACTGACGTATAAGCAAATACACAATCTTCATCCGTCCCTTCCCAATTATTAGGTTCATCATTATTCCAGTTTGTATATGTAACATCTGACCCGTCAGACCACTGGAAACTCATTTGTGAAATTTGGTCATTTAAACCTATCCACACTCCAGCAGTTTTTAAAATAACTAAATTGGAAAGAATAAAATTCAAGATATTTCGTAAAAGTCAACCTGATTGTTATAGGCTTTAAGTTCATGATAGCGACTTATTAATTATTAGGAATATTGTTTATATTAGTAGTATATTATTTATTGTATCTTATCTTTATTTATTTGTCAAAGATTTAAAACCAAATTCAAAATATAAATAGGAAGCTAACGTCCTCTCTCCTCTGCTGCAATAAGAGACTCGATGTAATCTTGTGCCTGTTGATCTAAAATCCATGCCAGCCTCCCACCGTTAGCTTTACAGAATGTGGAAGCATCGCTCCAGGTTTTCAAGTCCATATGTACGCTGTACTTGAGACCTAGTTAAAATAACATCATTTCTAATTCATTTAAAAATAAAATAAAAATGTATTCAAACATGTGTTTTGTGCTATTTACATCAGTTATTAACAATGAAATTTCAACATCTATCATTTTCTATTTGTGTTTGTGGAAACTACCAATTAAAAATTGAAAAATTGTGACCTACCGTTTGGTCCTTCTGGTGTGCCAGGAATATTCTCGCAAATACTACCTTCGCCATTTGTGCACGTAGTATCATACCACATGAACTCGTTTCCATCAGAAGCTCTGTAAGGTGTGTGAATCAAGAACACTTTAAGTTGTATACCTTATTGGTAACACAAAATCATAACTTCGTCAGTTAGTGAATACAGCAGGAAGAGAGCATAAAGAAAGTATAAAAAAGTCATTTTTTTGATTGGTATGCTTAGTCTTTTCCGCTTCCTGAGTTGTACTGTTATTCACAAGTTATTTTCACTCCAATGGGGTTATTCTGTACTTTTTTAGGTCCTGAATAACTCCTTGTAGTTACAATAACCCATTGAAAATAACAGTGATAACTGTCAAAACCTATCTGTTAATGTCCTTCTTTATAGCAATAAATAATAATAATATTTCGTGATTAGTAATAAATACTTTAATAAATCAATACATCATATTTCTTATAAGTCTTCTGATATTATCGAAACAAAGATATTAATATAGTCAGTTTAAAATCTACGTTTTGATCTAAGAGTTTTTAATTATAAGACTGTCAAAAATGATAATCTCTATGATATGCTTTTTGAAATTCTTTAAATTCAATATCTTTCTTGATACTTCATTGTTGTTTATGTATTATTTAATTTTCCGAAGAAAGTCTCTGGGCAACAAAAGTCATCTATTTTTCAACATGACATACAGAGAAAATAATGTGTTTTTTTGTGTGAACTTGCTGTTGTATGATCGTATTTGTTTTCTGGGTTAAAAGCAATAAATGAATTTATGTATACAAAATACTGGTTCTATAAATTTTCAATTTTATAAACCAATCCAAATAGTTATTTCACATTAAAGTTTAGGCCTACTTACACTAGCATGACACAGTCTTCCCCTGGGAACTTATAGTTGTTTGGTTCATTTCCGTACCAGTTTGTGTACACTTGGTAGTCTTTACTGTTTGCTGAACCACCCATCACCCACGTCCCTTCAATGGCGATGTCGTTAGAACCAAACCAATAAACATCAACCTCTGGCGATAGATTAAGTGAAACACATCAAAATATATTCAATATTGAATTAAGTAAGATCGACAGGCTACAAGACCTTGTTTATTTCGTGAAATTTTAATTTGTCTGTCATTTATAAATAATTTGTGGTATCAGGATTTGATAAAGTTATAATTATGTTGTGTGATAATGACTGCAATTCACAACTCTTAAAAACTATAACGTTTAATATTCTGGCAGTGTCAAAACAGGGCTATGCTGTTGTTTTTCGAGGGGTGTTCTCGTCAAGGGCCAAAAGTTAATCAGTAGTATCGAATAGGTAACACGATGAACCATACCCTTTCCACCCCTTAAAAACCAACATTAATGAATTAACAGTGAAATTGAACGATGTAAGAGTTTTAACTTACGTTTACTTTTTAGCTGTTGCTTATCATTTTTGTATCTCTACTGAGATCCAGCCATTGTTTCCCACAGCATTGTTGTTTTCCAGTATTTTGCCTTTTAATCTATATATATATTTATATATATACCGACAGAAATAAACGTACACATTATAACATTCATGGACCGTCACTTTTTACCTCACGCATGTTCTCAGAGACTTCTTTAACTGCCTTTTCATAGACTTACGTATTAGGTTCAAGATCTTGCTCCTCATTTTCAAAGCACTTTTGTGCTTAATTCATCAACTTACAAATAATTAATTGATCTTTTCACTCTCTGTTTCCCGAACATCCTCCAAAATTAAGGCCATAGAATATTCTCGTTTACAGCACCAATACTGGAATTACATCAACTCACCATACGGATCATATATCTTATTCAAAAGGTCCTCAGCAGTGTCCTGCTCTATCTGACTGCTGATGGTTGCCAGAGTACCCCCTTGATTCTGGCAATATATCTCCGCATCTGCCCAAGACATCTCGACTTTGAACGCCGTAAACTTCCCTATTAAACAATACAAATGTTGTAACTTTGCATTTAAATGAATATAATTTTAAAATGATTCATTTTTAAAAATTATTTCTTTCATTTCCACAAAAGCCGTTACAATAATATTATGTTGTATTATGATTCATAAGTAAAGTATGGCTTAAAAACAAAGCTTGACATGCTTCAAGTACTGTCAGAAATAATATGAACGTTACCTTGTTGCAGGGGAGAGGTTCCTATTCCTTCACACAAGACACGGAATTTTGCAGCACAATTATTATCATTCCATTTCCAATTAAAGTTTTTCCTGAAAAACAATAACAGCAGTTATCTACAGCTGCAGCAATAACAGCAATAGCAAAAATAAACACAACAACAAGAGCAACAACAACAGTAATACTAAAAGTTGTCAAAAACACAGTTTTATTGAAGATTACCGTCCTCCTCTGTGAACGGATTTCCTTCGTAACATAACTTTTTATTATTATTATTATTATTATTATTATTATTATTATTATTATTATTATTATTAATATAATCGCAAAAATTATTACCAAAATCGCTAACCAACGTGATAAAACAACAGCCAATTGGTAATCGATGCCTCGCTTAAAATCAGGTCAATATTCAAATATTATATACTGAGGCGAATGCAGGGTTTGGCGGTAGGAAGTGCGTGAGAGTCCACGCCACCTTAGGCCCAGCATGGGTGGGGCTGAGATGCGAACATTTCGAGAATATGGACCTCTAGGTGCCCGGAAATTGCACTCTAAGACCTTAACAATCTTACCAGTAATTCATATCAGTATAATATAACAATTATTTTTCTTAATAAAATTTAGGGGGGTGCGATCGCACTGTCTGTACTCCCACTCCCTGCATCCTCCCCAGATATATTCATCTTGTGTTACATCGCCAGTGTTATTATTGTTACCATAGTTATCATTATCAGTGTTTTATAGATTTGGACAAGTGAATAACGTAATATTGTAGTTGGTCGCACATGGTAATTTAAATTTTACATAATACTATGACACAAATATCTAAAAAAATAGCTGAGCATTCATGTTCGAAATTACTGTAAATACTATACAAATGTTCGATAGGCCTAACAACATTATTAAACCACAGTGAAATAACAAATTATAAAATTGGTCTACTGACGGTAAACAGGCGCAGTCTTCTCCGTCAGCTCCATAGTTGTTAGGCTGGCCATCTTCCCACTGATTAAACACTAATTTTCCTACGTCGCCGGTGTTTGTACCGTCAGAGAACACGAATGTTCCTTCTTTAACTATATCGTTAGCGGCTATCCAGTAATGACTGTGCTGTGCTATTGAAATAATGATTCATTTTTGAGTTGTCAGAGAACAGAATGGGACTTTTATGTTAACAAATATTATGATGATTAACAAATCATCATCATCAACATCGTCATCACTATCATCATCTATTGAAAATCCATTACTCTGGTTTTTTTTTTTGTTTTTTTTTTTGGTGTGAACAGTTTCGCTAACCACCAATTAGCATCGTCATTACGATGTTTACACCAAAAAAACGTAAGCATACTGGGTTTTTTTTTTTATAGAAAATTCTTCAACAATAATGTAAAAACCGATGAAATTTTATAAAGAAATCATTATCATCGTCATTATCTTTATTATTTTTACTATTATCATCATTGTCATTATATAAAGTTATATTCCCCACCACCACAATTACTATCATCAACGTCAACCAATGCTATATATTATAATCATCCTTATTCTAATAAACATTATCATCATAAAACAGAAACTTCATCATAATCTCGCCCACATCATCACCTTCCTATCATCAATATAAATTAAAGAATTTACAATTCCGAAGTAATATAAGACCATGTAAGACGATGTAACATCTATTTGTAGTCATTTTTAGAATACGTCTTTTAAGTAATAATAGGTTTACTACAGATTTATATAGCGAAAATTCCAAATCAGTGATCAAAGGCATTTATATCCCTGCATGAGAGATAAAGTGTCTTGTTCAAGGACACAAGGGACCTGCACAGTGGGGCTTAAAAAAACGACTATAAAGGTTAAAAGACCCAAAACCGTCGCACCAGCCGATTTTACAAGAAAGACATAGAGCACAACTTACATTCATATACACTCGATACTATATGCATCATTTCTGATTGGCTGTGAACGGATGCTAGGTCAGCTCCTACCTCTTTGCAGTTTAAAAGAGCGTCTTGCCAACTAACTTCGTCGATTTGTACGCGGTAGCAACTGTCACCATAGCTAGTCCAACCTGAGCGGCATCTGCTCCCAGGAGCTGTTATATAGACCAACTTTATTACATATAATTATATAATAAAAATAACAATGACGAGGACGATGACAACAGAAACAACAAAAACAACAAACAACATCAACAACGATCAATAAACTTCATTCTACCTCTTATAAGGCCCTACAATTTTAAACATTTTCACATCAATTTTCCAACATGCCTATTTCCTGCTAAATTGGGATGTGCATACTGAAAGGTATATACGTCATCGAGAGAGTAACATTGCTTTACAAGTTGTTTTAATCATACAATTTAATCTAAGTTCAATCTTTAAATACATACAATTCAGCTAATCCTACTTTGACTCAATTAATATATATATATATTTTTTTTAAATCATACATAAAAAAATTAAAACGACAGTTATAAACTTTGAATATGTTCATGTAAATTGTATTATTTCGATCCTTTACACATTTTTTGGTCGTATTACTGAATAAATTTCAATAATTTAGATTTATCTTGTATCATGTGTACTTTAATCGTATACGAAAATCTATTCACATTCTCATTCCCAACGCAATGCACACTGTATAACTTTGTAAAACTTTTCTATGTAGGCTGATATTGGGATGGTGAATATTTTCCCAGGTCTATTTTTTTTTTTTAGATCTGAAAAAAAAAACACAAAGGTGCACGCATGATAAATCTCCCGGACAAAACAGAAAACTCAGAACTAAGTCTATTTCTTTATTCACTCCTGTACATAATATACATACTGGAACATATTTTGGCTCCTGTGATACACACAAAGAATAATACATAGTCTACGCTTACCAAGTGTTGGTGATATTGTTGTTGTTCTCTGTATGTTACCTGGTATGAGAAATAAAATTTAACAGTTAAACAGCTCATGTTTCGGAAATACCAATTTCCATCATCAGTGTGAAGCTAGGGCGTTAGGTATTAATAAAATATATAAAATTATTATATATTGTAACGAAATTACCCCCTTCGGTGTAACAGCTCGTTTGGGCAATAGGTTTAATTAATGGGACAGCCTTGAAATACTTAGTGATTGGTCCGTCAGTCTGATTGGTTGATGGTGTCCCCATATAAGTGCTAGTCTGGAAATAAATCCTTCCCTTTTCCCTTGGCTGCCAGTCGTGCTGCTCCCAAGGTGGGCTGGGCCTTCTCTCTCTCTCTCTCTCTCTCCCCGTGGTCCATCCACAGAGAAGGTGAGAGATGGAACGTGTGCTGTACATGTACGGGAGACTAGTTAGGATAAAAGTTACTGCACTCGATATCTGGACTTGTGAAAGTAAAGACGTCTCCAAGGAATAGATAGTCCTAATTCTACACTATTGAATATTGTGTACAACTGCAAGTTATCTCTGATTTATGTGAGTATAATCATTAATAAATGAGTCAGTTGGCTCTCTGGAGAGAGAGTCAATGGACGTATTCGACTGGTCGTTCTTCGTTAAACCATGCCCACCTGCGCAGCGGTAAAATCCTACTTAACGAAGACGACCAGTCGAATAGAACTTGTAAACTTGTAAATACTCGACAAAACAAAATGGCTGCGTAGTTACCGTGATACACACTGTATAATCAAGATTGCTTGTGACAGTATGGGTTTTAGTTAAATTAAATCTAAATTATATTAACACACATGTTGTTTCTAAACTCACCAATCGAGCATGTTTGCTTTGGTCACGTGAATAACTTAACGCTGATTAATGCACTCTGGTTTACGTTAATTTTCGTTGTCAACGAAGTCTATTTTACGAACCAGTCGAATGAAAATACTCAACGAAAATTCGTAGTCAACGAAATGTATCTGGTGACTATTATCTTCATTCATCTCTTTAATAGCTTATTGGAAGTCAACGGAATAACACCATTGCCTTGTCCACTTCGATCGAGGCTCGGATAAGTTCAAAAACGTTACATTATCTTCAGTTAATAATATTGACAGATGGGACGAGATGCCTTTACAATTCATTGTAGTACTATGAAGCAATAGTTGACTAATTACTCAAAAGCTCTGTCCACACTATCAGATTTGATGTGGTAAATATATGTGATATGCCCATATTTGGATGTAATACTACATCATGCCCATATATGGGCACATCACTCAAATTTGCCACATAAAATTTATTAGTCTGGACAGAGCCTTAGGGCATATAATGTGCTGTACTTGAGAAGGTACAAAGTACACGACGCATGATATTAAAAAAGAAAAGAAGCGATATACAAATGAATCTGGTCCTCTCCAACTCTCTTAATGTATCACTTACCAAGCTTTTTACATACATGTCCGAAGGAGGAGTCGCAAGATTCGTCATACCATTGACCAGTAGACGAAGTGGCAGCAGAGATTACCACACAGTGTTGACCTCCATCCGAGTTGTCCGGTTGGTCTAAGAAGATATATGTTTTAAAATTATATGCAAATGCATATAAAATATATACATTTACATATATTATATATATATTACATAAATGACTGATCAAAATTATTATTATTATTATTATTATTATTATTATTATTATTATTATAATTATTATTATATTGATATTGTTAATATTATTACTACTATTATTAACAATATCAGTTACTGTTATTCTTCAATTTCTTACCCATGGCAAAATTAAAATAGGCGACCGGCGATCCATCCGTCCATTCCCAGCCACCTTCGTCATAAAGATCATTCAACCCAACCCAAAGTAACGGAGATTGCTCTTTGAAAACCAGACCTGCATGACAGTGAAAAAAACAAAGACTATGGTGAGAACTCCTCTTTTTCTTATTCTCCGACTGCCACACACAGCTACATACAGCTACTGCTCTTGCTACTGCTTTTGCTACTACTACTAATACCACAATGCTCGAAAAATAATGTTGATGTTATGAATAAAATGTAATTTGAATTGAATTGAAAAAATTGAATTGTGTAAGTGAGGTTTTTACCTAGCATTCCATGTAAAACAATAAATTCTGACAGGCAATAGGAAATGGATTCATAAGTTTGCTAGTCTTACGTGTCTTACCCAGTTTTATTCAATGCTTACCTGTAATAAAGGCTGATTCATCAACTGATGTAATGCTTGCGAGATTTCCACCTTGTTCCATGCACTTGGAAAGTGCTTCGTTGAAAGTTGACGAAGTATCTGAGCGAACTTGATAACAATAATCAGACTTTGAATCGGACACCCAGCCTACTCCACATTTGTCTACAAAATTATTAAGGCAGAGTAGAGTATTGAGTATGAACAACAAAATCTGACACATTCCAATGTGACATAAATGAGGTGTAATGTAAATAAAATTAATTAAACAATGTACATTTACTCAACAATTAATCACGTTTATATATTGAACTTTAACATGTTGGTGCCCATAAAAAAAAAATCAGTTGAATATGTTTTGCTTAATAAAATCATTAATGTTGATAGACTCAACATTTTTAGCGAAAGAACCTATGCCGATGTATTTGATTTTGGAAAAAAAATGTTTAATGTTTACATAAACTTGAACAAGGCCCAGTATACTCTGTTTTTATAGTTTTTTTGACTTTTTAATCGTATGTGCGAGCAATTCTTAACGAATGGTTTAGGGTATCAATATATTTAAAGTTAACCTACCGTCAATGCATTGAGGAACATCACAATATCGTATCTCGACGTATCCTCGATCGACGTGATAACACCAAGGAGCACTGTATTGCCCCGGCAGTGGGTTTCGACAAAAGTTTTCATCTAAGCCTGTGTAGATCAAATAACAAATAAACAAATTGCCTTGTTTGGCTGTTCTCTAAGTATAATCGCTGGGAAGAAGTTGTTTTATATGTGAACATTTTTTTTTTCATTTTAGACTAATTATTAATAATGATATTATTGTTAATATCATCGAATTCTGTTAACAACAATATGCCATGAATATGTGTTGAACTTGTTATAGCTCCAACGTTTGTGTCTGTGCCTTTTGAATGCGTTTGTCTGTATCTGTATGTTGTGTAATTTGTTTTTTATTCTATAAATTTCTCCCTTTCGTCACCTTAGGGTGTAAAAAATGATCGTTACGTTATTTATTTTAAAATACTTTTCTGCCTATTCCTCAGTTGATTGTCTCGAATGCCTTAAATATTGTTTTCTTTAGCATTAAAGGATTCTTGTTTCCCGTGAAATTATTTTGCTTCCCTACTTTCTCATTCCGTCATTCGTAACCACGTCTATTATCACAATCAATCCTCATCCATTATAATTTTGTTAAATACTTTATTCTCTGTACAGTAAGCCAATGCATAATCGAAAACATTTTGTAATTCTAATATAAATAATAATTCATTGCATGCCTGCATTTGGATGTTCTTCTACAATATTTCTGGCGTATTGACTATCCCAATCCAAACAGGTTTGACCATCAGATGTCATGCGGGCAGGTCCTCTATAATGTTCCCCGGCACCTTCATAGCACCCAATATCAAGTGCTGTCAACAGGATGAATAATGTCCTTAGTGATATTCTTAAAAACATTTTTAGCAAATGTATTATTAATACTTATCAGCTAGCTCAGTCGGCTAAACTGGTGGTAGCCACTGAGTGTGCGCTGCACCGTGGATATCTCTTGGTCCCCGGTTCAATTCCCATCACTGCTTTCCTTGTGTTTCAGCTGGAGGGCTGAAATGCAAGTTTCAATAGCGCATCGTCTTTTGGATGAGACGTTTAGGCCGTTGGTCCTGAGTACAAAACGGTTCATGTGCACATTAAAGAACGCAGTACATTCTTCGAAAAGAGTAGGAAACTGTCTCCCGATGTACTGCCCAATTCACCACCAGAAGGACCCCACTAGAAATAAGCCTTCGGACTTAGTGGGTTATCCTTTGTGTGTATCACACCGAAGAAATCCAAATCCCAATAATTATATACCTAAACACCAACATTGTATAAGACAACATTTATATTCTCCCAATCATATGCGTTATTAATGAATATATAGTGTCTCAGGTGACAATCAGTTATAATATAGGTTGATGATACATTGTGCGTATTCAGTAATTATATGGCACTACTTATAGTGTTTATCAAGTTCATTATCAGAGAACAATTAAATCAAATAGCAATGGCGAATGAAAATTGCAGTAAACATGTGATTTACCTGTTTGCTTATTAAGAAAACTGGTTTTGCACAAAGGCTAAATTGCATTTATGATATTTTACACAATTAATTATTTACGGGGGTGTTATATGAAGTAGGCAAATCTTATGTCCTTTCATCACTATAAAGATTTATGACGTCATCCTACCCACAGACCTATGAAAAGAATCACAGATACTTGCCACATAAAACTTTGTTTGCATAGCTATGTTACAAATAGCCACTCCATTATTACGAAGGCTATTTTATTAACTCCAGTCTCACTGAGAGGAAATTATTCTTTTAAATCAGATTCAATAAACACTGTTTAAAAAAAGAAAACAATTAAAGCAAATAATTAAAATAAATAACATACCATCACATACTTCGACAGCACAGAAGTTCCAATGATCATAACCATCCAAACCATGGTAATAACACCAAGGTTTAGAAAGAACTCCACCAGGATTGCGGCAATAGTTCGCTTCCAAATCTGCAACGTCATTACAACCAGTTGTCATAATACATCGAATGCTTGTACAAAATTAGTTGAAAGAAATATTGCAGATACGCGCTATTCGCTCGAAATTCCTCTTTTAAGGACACGCCACTTCATGACAGTACCATTTGAAATAGCATTACGTTCAAACGAGAGTAGGACCTCTTGCAGTTCCATACTCTTTGGTGAATCTCTCAAACTTTAAATTTGACTCAAAAAGGTTGTTCTGATTTACCAACGTTTCACTATGAAAATCCTTAACCGAATTATCAGCAAATCATATGCATAAGAAGAATGTATGAAAAGTACTAGTATATATTCGTCTGATGATTGGCCGCAGAGTTTATGTTCTTTGAATTATGTTCCTATTAACGTAATTTTGAATAATGACACCAAGAGTGTCATGTGATATACAGCTTCAAGCCTGACCAATTAAGACTAAAGGGTGAGGATATCCTGTAAGTAAACTTTATATTATTTTATTTTATGTAATTATATAAGTTGCATGGTTGCGGGGCCGCTTGTGCTTGGCGCCAGGAGTCAAATGTTCTATTATTTTTCGAGGGGTGTTCCCATGTGTGAGAAAGAATAGGCAATTTGTCGGTTTATATATGTAAGTATTCACGAAGTAGACAACCCAATTAACATAAGGTGCAAATTATAAATAAATAAATAAAATTGATTGATTGAATTTATTCGTAATCAAAGTAATAAAATACATACATAAATAACTATTTACCAAATACTGACAGGATAAAAATTGCACGAAAACTTGAGCCCAATTTCAAGAAATAGCTAAAAACAAATTAAATTTGTTTCCATAATTGGAGTCCTTGCAAACATAGAAATATAACTGCACAGTTTATCATGGTGACAAAAGAAGAGATGAATGAATTAAGATAGAACTTACCGTATGTTGAGTTACGTTCAAAGTAGGTACTTCCAATTTTAAGAGACAATTCAGCACTGTCTCGATTAAGACGATTCAGCTGACAAATGTTGGACTTAAAGTTAAATGAACGACAATAGAAATCAGTTTGATTCAAACACAGGTAGGCACAATTTTGCCATGCTGTAATACCAGGAATGGTGACAGTGTTTTGATCCAGAAGCTGACGAGTGTGAATCACAATAAACTCTTGCGTAGGATCTGAGGAATTTAGATGGGAATAAGAATGAAAGTAAATTGAAATTATATTTGTAATAATTGCGAAGTGTATTTTACCCGTTATATCTTGAATGTTTCCATCTTTGTTGGGGTGCCTCTCATTATCTTTACAAAAGTGCTATTTAACAATTAATAGGAGTAATATAGACAAACAGTTAAGGCGTTAATGTACAGCCATAATATCGGATCTGGTTCTGGTGGTGGAACGCGTCTTCTTTGGCTTATATTTACTTACTCAGTACCTGTGAATCTTTCAAGAACTTGTTCTCGTGATCTTGATATATACGTGGCGGAAGAAAATTTCCATGTAGACCCACGGGAGGGGGAAGAGTGGTCATGGTTTGAATTGTTGTTGTTGGTTGAGGTCTCTTATTTTTATGTGTTTAGTGGTTATATCTATGAAGCTGTCAAGTGAAACTGTTTTAATAATGTCGTCGGGTAGTCGGTTTCAATCTCTGCATGTTCTCGGTAGAAACTAGAATTTATATGTGTTAGTTCACCGATATGGTTTTTAATGTTACTAATTGCAGATCGTCGTTATCTAACCGAGGCTGAAGTAGTCAGTGATTTTGGTATAGCAGAAACCTCCATTTGTATCTGTTCATAAGACCAAGTCTGGCTGTCTCTCGCTTAATATGTTCCAGTATGTCCTAAATAAGGTCCTTTATCATGCTGGTAATGCTGGCAAGCCAGTCATAGTTGTTATGAACGTCACGAGCAGCGAGACTCTGGACCATTCCTAGCATATTTTAGCTTCACGATGGTCGCAAACGGTGGACGCAAATTCGAGATGAGGCCGGACAAGGGCCCAGTAAGACTAGTACAGGGTTACCTCGGTGTGCTGGTCCATACAATTGCTGCTGCTGTGGCTAGATTAACGTAGTTGATCGTGAATGTGGGAAAGGGGCATAGTAGCTTAGAAACTTAGTGATCCTGAAGCCGGGCACTCAACACCGCGCCCTGTGTCAGCTAGACGACGCCACGCCGTCTGCTGATTGTCGGTGGCAGTCTGAAGGGATCGTCATAAAAAAAAAAACGATCCGTTGCCGTGCGTTCTCCATAGAATCGCGTCAGCCGACAACCGTCGGGCGCATTGATTGCCCGGCTGAAGATAGATTAAAGCTACGTTCACATTAACTCCAGATTCCGGTCTGGGGTCCGGAGAAAAAATCGTAAAAAATAGGTTCAGTGGTAAAGAATAGGACCGTTCACATCAAATTCGAACATTTCCAATCCGGACTCCGGATCTGGACCGATGGATCTGAGAGCCATTTGCATCCTTATTTACAAATATGAAGAGAATTAGCACATAAAAAATATAAAAGTAAGTTATCATTATTAAGTAAATTGCAATTGTCAGTAGTTTTTTAAAGATCGCAGTACATATTTCAAAAAGTTAGCAGAAAATTCGTGTCTGTGTCCTGTTGTCTAACACCAAACAGTGGTTGCGCTATGTACGGGATCCCAAAGTGCCCAACAACATTTTTTTAAATCTTTACTAAGGCCTCATTTTACAATATCATATTGCAACAACGCAATACACTAATCATTTATAATAATAATAATATTAATAATAATAATAAAATAATAATAATAATAATAATAATAATAATAATAATAATATAATAATAATAATAATATAATAATAATAATAGTAGTAATAATAATAATAATAATAGCAATAATATGAACTTCTTACTATCGCAATACACAATATCATATTGCAACAACACAATACACTAATCATTTATAATAATAATATTGATAATAATAATAAAATAATAATAATAATAAAAATAATAATATAATAATAATAATAATAAAAATAATAATATAATAATAATTATAATAGTAGTAGTAGTAGTAATAATAATAATAATAATAGTAGTAGTAGTAGTAGTAGTAATAATAATAATAATAATAATAATAATAATAATAATAATAATAATAATAATAATAATAGCAATAATATGAACTTCTTACTATCGCAATGTGGTACATCGCATTCCTTCTTGTCAACATTTCCAGAATCCCGTTTGATATAACACCATGGCTTGTCCTCTCCCGTTGGATTTCGGCAATAGTTTTCGTACAAATCTAACAAAGATAAAAAGTGGGACTATGCCTAGAGTCTCTAATATCAGAAGACCTTTCCACTAAGACCCGCCCATTGGATATTGTTGCTAAGGTCCCACAAGACGACTGAGTATAAAACACAAGCAAACATGTACGTTTGTGGGACACGCGCGTATTTCTGGTTAATAAGTCTGATTTACACTCTGGAAAGGTTCGTGGATGATATTTCATCCTGTATGTTAGAAGTGTGCTGCTAAGAAAAAATAAATAAACACAAACACAATACCACTCACTTGTTCCATTATTGAAAATTATTATTTATTTTTTTTGGGTTAGTCCAGATTTATAGAAGTATTTCACGGCCAGTATTTGATCGCTGATTGTAAGCAATTTGATCTTCCTGGGATTGAATATGTTACAGAAATATATATAGTTCCAAACCTTTTACAGCTTAAGATTAAGAATGTTTGCACAGTGTTGTCTATTGTGCGAACACACATACGACACAGAGAAGTTGTTTCATCAGCATAAATCAAAATGTTACTAATAATACTGTCAGGTAAGCCTTTTATATAAATAATATACTTTAAAGGATGTGACGAAGAAGAAAACCTTGAGGAAAACATTCATTGGTGTCATGTACCTTCTAAGCTTAAAATGAAGAAAGTAAAAAATTGATATGAGACTTCTAGTAAAATCCAAAAGTTTAATGAAGGCCCCATAATTAAACCTTAAATATTTCCCAATCAACTAGCCGTCTCAACATATCCGATAGGTAATGAATGTTACACTTTGCATATAATAATGATTTCCCAATTTATAATGAATAGTTTATTTAAATAAATACCTGCGTTGGGGAAGTCGTCTGAATTTACAGGTTGGTCTGACACATTTTTCCACATAGAACACGATTCCCCATCCACAGTTGTTGCACCAGATCCACGATAGTTTTGACCATTTCCTTCGTAGCATCCAGTCTCTTTTATATCAAAAATATATTCAGGTCATGATTTCTCATTAGATATCCAGAATAGACAACAACAAAATAACAACAATACAAATAATTCAACAATACCATATAATTGTGCCTCTGTGTAATTTACAGTTACCAAAGAAGAAAATGAAAGTTGAAATAAAAACTTATATCAAAATTTAAAAAATCTAAAGTATTTGGCGTATAATCAAAATTTAAAATCAAAAAGTGTTTGAAAAAATTAATTAAAAAAAAAATAGCTTGAAGTTTAGAAAAGTACAGTTCAACTCGTATTATTTTATTACAGATTTATTAAATTTGATTTGAATCGGTCTGATATTTTTCATGCTTACGATTAGTCAACATTTTATGCCACTTAAGTCATAATTATCTGATTTCAAAAGGGCGTAATATAAATAATACTTACACTGAATTTGTAAACAAACAAGATTAACTATAATGAATACTGTAATTAAGTGTTTTAGTTGCAATATACACCTTAGTGTTACATGTTACATTATTTTTTTAACTATTTTTTCATTACAAATTATAGATACATGCTGTACCAAGCAGTTATATATATTTGTTGTCAAAATGTTCAACTTCTAGATATAAAGGTCAGCTTTATATCAACTCAAACTTCCTCACTAAAAGAAACGAACTTTATTCCACCAATTGTAAAGCAAAAAGATACCTCCTCTATGGTTTAACTGTGTTTGATAAATACCAAGGTATTAACAATTATATTAATCTTACTATTACACTTGGGAAGATCACAATAACCATAGTTATATTTGTCATCAGTGTAACACCAGGGTCGACGAGAACCACTTGGGTTTCGGCAATAGTTAGAATCCAGTCCTGAGTAAAATTTTAAAAGTAATATATTGTCAATATGCCTGTTTTCACTCGAAAAAAACTAGGTTATTTTCGATCTCATGAAAATATACGAAAAAATGTCAGTGACAAATTAGAATACAGTAGATGGTTACTGTATTCTATGTTGACGTTCTATTTTAAGATGTAAGAACTTTCGAGATACAGTGAGACTTTGTTTCATTGCATCTCCGACAGGGATTATACTTTGGACTCCACAATGGCTATGGGTCCCAGACTCCCACAAAATTAAATACCTACAACCTCTTCCTCCTTTTCCTCTGCACAACTACAAAAGGAGAGGAGAGTTATGTGTAGTCAAAACACAGTACATCAATTTAACATTAATTTATTTAAAGAGTAATCAACAAAGTTTATATGAGTAAAAAAAAAAATTCATTACAAGCTAACTCTTAACATTCATAATTTATTGTCAATAACAATTATTCATGCATTATATTGCCTCCGTTTCTGTTTAGATGCCTATAATTGTATGTATTTAAAATATTATATAAGAATAGCGCTAATTATTAATGCAGAGATCAAATGTGCACAGTTTTCGCACTCCCAGAATGTTCTTCTTTACCTTGTACAATTTAGATATATGTAAAGTCCTAAAGCATTTACCACAAAAAATTTAAAGTTTATCTTGTTATCATTTCACACACACACACACACACACACACACATATATATATATATATAAATATATATATAAATATATATCTAATATAAGAAAAGTAGAGCATTTTAGAAGGCGTGCCTTCGACACAATAATACAAAGTACCTGCATATGGCTGATTAGCAGGATAGTACGAACTAGACGAGTCTAGCTGGTCCCATCGGTAACACGTGGTCCCATCTTCCGTTTGTGAAGCATGACCTCGGTATGTCATCCCATCACCCTCATAACAGTCTGCAGCATTGGAACAGGTTGGGATAGCACACATCTCTACAGCAAAGCTTCCGCCTGATGTGCTGTCCCAGCACCATGGTGCTGGACCATTGTCCGGATTTCGACAAAAATTTTCCTTTAAATCTTTGTGACAATAAAGAATTAGTAGTTAAACAAAAAAAAAACAAACAAACAAACAACCTATTATCATTTATTTTAATTAATATTAAGGATATCATGTTAGTATTCTACGTATTCCAAAACAGATTTCCTAAAAATAACAGTGTTTGCCTATATATATATATATATATATATTTAATTCCATCAGGACTTTTTCGATTGAAGCATTATTAATATATTAAAACAAAATATAAACACATATTAAAACTAATTTCAAAGTGTTATTTTACATTCTGTTTCTCACCTGCGTCTGGGTGAGTGGTTGGATTAATTGGTTTCCCGTCCCAATTCTCGCATAGCTTGCCAGATAATGATATTTGTGCGTTTCCGCGGTAATGACTACCATCACCATCATAACAACCAATAGATGCTAAAAAGATTAGAATAAATTTATGATGTAACACTCAATAGAGAAAAATAACAAGATATGTTATGCCTACTCTCTTACTAAAGTTTATACGTGTGAATATTCGAAAAATACATGAGCACTACGTCGCTCTATCACGGTATGACGTAACACTGCTTACTCGGTTATTACGTAATTTTGACTTGATTGAACAAGAACTTCGAAAGAGATCTTACTCGCTATGCCACACCTCCATTTCTAAACTCCTGATTCAGTTTTGGAGTATTCAAAAATAGGACTTTATAATTAAAACGTGTGAGGAAGGATAAACAGCAAATGCTCGATTACGAGTTATTTTTGTAATAATGAAAAAGAATTGAACAAGTTAAATAACATAGCTAAAAACATAAATAAGTCACAGAGGAAGTTGTATATGACCTTTGGATTACAGATAATCACAGAAAATAAGCTGTAGAATACCAGGGTTCAGCGCATTTTGATGATAATGATGATAATAAATAATCAGAATAATATGCATAATTTAGATAATCTTTTTTTATTTAAATAATAAAGAAGAAAACTTATGTGCTTACGAGGATTTGTAGGCGGATGAGGTGTAACTGTTCCTGCTGTTTTCTTGCATATCATACCGCGTTGATACGAGCAAGGTATATCGTTCCAGGCTCCTTTCTGAACATTACCACCATAGATTTCAACACAATCCTCGCCAGTATCAGCATTATTTGGCTCATTTTTTTGCCAGTTTGTAAACGATAGCTAAATGAAAATTATACACGAAAAGAAAATATTGACACTGTGGAACGAAAACCCAACAAAGAAACTATTGTGACCTATTAATAGACGTACGAAAGGTAAAAAATAATTATAGTGTAAAGCCCCATTTACACTAGACACGATTTCGAAACGACGACGACACAATACATATGCGCGCAGTGTGAATACAAACTGCGCGATGATATGTCGTTATCGTGTCGTAATCGTGTTTAGTGTAAATGGGGCTTAAGTGTATTATTACTATTACGATTTCAACTAGTCCCACAACTACCATTATCGATTACGGTATATAAACACCATTATTTCTATTTTTATCGTTATCGTTGTAGTTCGTTATGAATTTAATATATATCGTATTCTATTATTATAATCGTTATAATGATAATAATAATGATGATGGTGATGATGTTCATCGTTAGGATCATCATCATCATCTGCATCATCATCAACACCATCATCATCGCCATCATCACCACCACCACCCCAATCATCATTATGCTTACAGGATTTCCGTCAATCCATAAGAACGTTCCCTCAGTTTGCTGATCAGTAAGACCGATGTAAAATGCTTCTGCGTTTAATCGCACTGAGAAAAAAAAAACAGGATAGAAATGTTTACATGTAAGTCTAAAAAAATAATAATAATTAAGATTTCAACGGTGCGTAGTGGAGGGAAAATCATTCAGATCATTTGGCTCCTCGAATAATCCTTATAGTGAGAGTTATAGGCCAGCAGATTAGAGGCTATTTTGGGGTGGAGGTGGCAATGGAAGTACTACCGGCTAATTTTGATATTTTCTGAAAATATAGGTCTTGAGAAGTTCAGAACTCAAAATTACCCAAAATCTCTTTGAGGGAACACCTCCAAATTAAGCATTCAAAATGGCCTCCAATATCAAAATTAGCCTGTAGTACTTCCATTGCCACCTCGACGATTTTTAGAGGACTTTTTGGCCATAATCTGCTCGCCTATTAGATGGATTAGGGACAATCTTTGTATCCGATGTGTCCGTACACTGCAGCTGCAGCAGGTCCTGAGGGGCCCAGCCCAAATTTCCAATTTTCCAGTTAGAATTAAGACAAATAAAGGAATATTTGAATAAAAAAATATACTGGTGTTACCTGAAAGAAAAGATTCCTCGTTGGGGTTAAGTATACTAGTTAGCACGGAATCCATGTCTTCACATGCTTTCTTGGAATCACTAAAAGTACGTTGAAAAGAGTCGACTTTATAACACTGTCCTTCATAGTAGTCCCATCCAGGTTCACAACTTCCAATTACTTAAACCAAAATAAAGAAAAATCAATGCTTGTTGGCACTTGCAACGAACACAAAAAATCATTATATTATTCTAAACCTAGATGACATTCTACAAACAAGTACCAGCAGTGGCGTATCTAGGGTAGGACGCGAGGGGGCGCACTAACCCCCACCCAAAAAAAAAAGTTCGTCCCCCCCCAGTTGCCCCCCAAAAAAAATCACGGGCAAGTAGTTAAAAATCACATAAAATCACCACATTTTGCGAATTAGCGCCCCTGAACTGATCATCGAGCCCCCATTGCACCTTCGCGCCCCCATCAGCACCCTCTTTCAAGACTTGGCGCCACTGGGCACCAGGCAAAATATAGTGAGTAGATCAGGCTAATAATTTTGAAATGAATAATACTGATAATAAAATTGCAATAATTTTACAGTAACAGCAATAAACAATAATAATACAATTAGAATAACTACAATAATAACCAGAATATCAAAATAGCTTAATAGGGGTTTTATAATACACATCTAATTATATCAATAGAACAAACCATTTCCAGGGTTGTAAGGTTTCACAGTACTACCCGCAGATACCTTGCAGATGTAGCTATACGTGTTGAAACAATCACCATAATCCCATTGACCATTAGGCGACACTGACAAAAAATAAAATAAAATAAATCTTACAATTAATATCATCATATACTCAAGTACAACAAAGAAGGTCTTACTATCTTCCTGTTAGTCTCAGAAAAAATAGTAACGATGTAATTTATTCAAATGGAACCTTAGACTCATCTACTTCAATATAATGCATTAACATTCGCAGAATATCGTCATAAGCAAAGGGGAATCATTCTTGTTGCTGATATTGCTTTATAAATTTGTTGTTTCTTTGATAGGCGGCCCCTGGAACAAACAATGGGGCTTGAAACTGAAGGGATTTACTTTTATTCAAATAAAAGCAATATGCACAGATAAACAAATTAACTTATTTGCATGATTTTTACCATGAAAATCCTAATTTGATATTAAACGATGGAAAGGATGGAATCATTTTTTTTCGTCCATAAAGGACTGTTTATACTTTAACGATAACGATAAAAAAAAAAGCTAAAAAGCGATTGTTCATATAGAAAACCAAAAAAATAAGAGAAGTTTTTACACTAGGACGATTCGATAACGATTTATCCTGTATATGATAACAAAATATTATAACAAATCAAATCAGATGACGTCATAATCATGGAAAAACGATAAAATCGTTGCTACTACTACGATTTTAATGTTTTTCCATGATTATGACGTCATCTGATTTGAATTGTCAAAAGTAGTTGTTATTGCATAACTGAAAAAATCTTTATCGAATCGTTCTAGTGTAAAAACCTCTCTTATTTCTTTTATTTTCTATATGAACAATTGCTTTTTAGCTTTTTTTTTTTATCGTTATCGTTGAAGTATAAACAGGCCTTAAGTGTGCGAAAATGTATTTTTTTCATCCAATCTTTAATTTAATGAAAGCAAGTAAATTTTATTTAGCTCTAACCGGTGGTATATCTTAGGTACATGAAGAGAAAGAGAAAATAACACATACAGACAAACATTGATCCACAATCCATCGTATTCGGTGTGTTTTCAGGATATATCCGTTTCGGCCAGTTCATGTAAGGGCCGTTGTCGATGGTTCCATCAACCCAAACGCGTTCACCATCCTTCTCAGTATCTGGAAATTAAAGGCACGGACTTTAATTAAAAAAATATACGTTTTAAAATCATTTTTTAAGTAAATAAATAACATTTAATGTATACCTGATATTCCAATCCAAAGATTTTCAACGTTGATATCTTGAAGGTAATCAAACTGTGTGATCAAGAAGTCTTGCTCTTCTTGGCTAACATAAAAAAAGTTGTATAATAATACTTAATAATGGTAGTATTTATTATATCAAACAAATCAATACAGAATAACTCAACTATGTCCAGTCAAGCTGTCTAATTTAATTTACATTCGATCAGTAATTAGCGGTATAAAATTAATAACTTCTCTTGAAACAGGCAACGATTATATAAATCATTTAATATTATGTTCATTTTGGTCAGATAAACTTTAAAGAAACTCTAACAGACAAAACACATCATACACAAGACCAAACGGAATTTCATCATACAATCAATGTTACGTCTCTCAATGGAAACGATTCGGCAGACTTACCCTCAAACTTGCAGAGGTGGGTTTTTAAAAGCTTACAAACAATGTTGAATTAAAAAAAATAAAGACATGTAAATTTAGAAAATATGACATTATGGTACCTCTTAATTGTCACAAGTAATGTTCCTTGAGCGTCACATATAGTTTTGGAGTTGATCCATGTTTCGGGCTGAAGAGTATTAAATTGATAGCAATTTCCGCCATAGCTCCTCCAACCAGGATAACATGAAACTATTGGTTTAAGATATCAAAGGCGACACTGTAAAAAAAACTCACTTACTTCTCAAATCCTCAAACTCGCTATCCCTAAATAATAATAATAATAATAATAATAATAATAATAATAATAATAATAATAATAATAATAATATTAATAATAATAAGAATAATTTCCTTATGTTCATGAGTGGGCATACGTCAATCAAGAGACTGCCCACGGTGACACTGCCTCAAAATTACAATGCAAGTAATTCCAACAAAAAGAGAATGAAAACATTAACTATTAATTGAAGTGTAAATAGCACACGTACGCTGGCCCCGTTCGCACACAAACGCTTTTCTATCTTCACATTTAGCCGTGCTCCAGGGTCCTGTGTTGCTCCCCTTGTTCAAAACCTCCACACACTTCCCCCTGTAATAAAAGCAGGATAGTTGTCAACAACTGAGTTTAGCTCATCAGAATTAATTCTCAAAATTAGTTTCAGTTTTTCCCCCAAATTCGAAATTATAATTTCGAGAGATACCGGTACCTCCTCTGTGATTAATTTATATTTAGAATAACTAAAAATAATTATGTTATCATCTTCTTTTTTTAAACTCAACTATGTATCTGAGCTTTGCGACAAAATCTCACATTATCTCATAAATAAGAAAATATATACTTACGCTGATGCATCTGGTTGTCCTACGTCCCAACTATTATTTGAAGCTATGTAATTATCTCCTGATATCCACTCGTACTCGCCATCAGAGTCCTTACAAAACACAAATAAGAAATATCTACCGAATAATGTCTAAAGTAAAAACACTGCGCTGAGAATTATTTTTGTACTTGTACTGAAGAAACTGGTTTAAATCCGGTCAGCGTTTTAATTGAAGTCTTTCTTTTCGGTTCTTTGAATAACACTCAAATGAAAGTTATGCGGGATAAAGGCCAATGCTCATCACTTTACTCATACAAAACATGTGTTGAGAAGGGTAATTTATAATAATAAAAAAAGAAACAGGTCAGCAATATCGGAGATTTTTGTTAATGTACAACTCCAATTTGTAATATTTTATATTCAGATTGAAATAAATAATATGCCGATTGATTGATTGGTGTCTTTCTGCATAGAAGTTCAATGTTGTAATTACTTATTTTATCAGCAAGAATTGGTAGGGGTGGCACTAATTGATTACTCCATGCAGACTCTACTTTACCTTGTCTGAGAGACCAATCCAGATAGTTGTTTTTGATGAAGCAATAGTGTTGATGGTCAACTGCTCCTCGTCATTGTTGATTGACACCAAATATCCATCGAGCCCATCACAATAATCCTTAAGTAAATTGGTAATTTGAGAAGATGTAAATTTATCACATTAATTATTCGGTACACAGACCAAAGTTAATACACATATTATGATAAATATGACTGTTGTTTGTGAGCATTATTATGAACAACAAAATCTAATATTTGGATCGTTTTCATTATACAGTATATTCCAGACTTTGAATTAACATGCGAATGTTATATTATTGTTATTACACATAATAAATATGAGGACATTACTAATGATATTAGAGATAAGAGATGTAAATGCTATTCTGTTTGAAAGTAGGTTCCAGAGGATTATTCCCAGAAGAGAATAAACTCTGGTGGTCCAAAGAAGATAACAAGGAACAAATTAATGATCTAGCATTTAAACGGAAATTAACGTAGTTTTACTTATTTAAACACACACACAAAATAATATGTTACAAATAAACAATCTAAATCGTAGTAGGTATTTCAGCATCGCCATCTTTCATATTCTTTTCATTTCAGTACAATCGTCATTATCATCATCACCATCATCATCACCATCATCAACACATCAACACCATCATCATCATCAACACATCAGTACCATCATCATCATTATCACCACCATCATCATTATCATCATTATCACCACCTTAATCTTTCTGATTTAAATAAGAATACCTCATCATCCTTATTCTCATCATCATCATCATCATCATAATCATCATCATCATCATTATACTCAATACTCATTAAACTTTATTTGCCATATGTACATGTACAATACACATACAATGAAATTCGATTTGGTTCCTTAACAAAAACAAACATAAAAGACTTTAATTTCAAACTAGTGGCTTGTCATCGTCATCAACATAATCATCATGAGTTTCGTCATTTCTGGAATTATCAACACAATATAGCATATCCCACCTGTGCATCATCCCAAGAACGTGTTTGATCCACGTACAGATAACACCTGCTGTTTCCTGAGATCCAACCGTCCTCTGTAGAACACTTCTCTAACTTGGCTGCAATTATAAATTTTTATTAATATTAATTTGTGTCAACCAAGGCAATTAAACAGCTCGGTAACTCTACAATCCATTTTATATTCAGGTGTGGGTGGTCAACAAGCTTACTATTATACTAATTATAAAAATAGTATTGGCAGCCTATAGTATAATATTATAGAGACCATGCCGTCGCCCGCCAAACTCCAGTGGGCTGGACATGATGTACGGATGAATGAATTCAGACGGACCAAAACAATTCTCTTATGGAAATTATTGGAAGGAAATTTAGGAATTGGTGCTCCAAAGCTTAGATTCAAGAATGCTCTGAAATACATCTTACGGTAAAAACATGCTATTGGACATCTGGGAAACAACAGGACTCATATGTTCAAAGTGAAGAAAACACACCAAAATGGTGCTGGGATGGTGGAAAAGTTCAGACTGGAAACTCATCAACTACGAAGACAAAACCGACACCATCATCTAAAACCTCTAACTTCTGTCATCTAATGTGCTTCATTAGCAGGCTGGGAACTTCATCCTGAATTCTTCTCACTATTTATCTTCAAATTCAAGGACAACCACACACACAGTTGGTGTAAAGAAATTGAACTACCTCTGGTTCGTTTGTTCTAAGATATTACTCATTTATATGTAACTTTATATCATCAATCTTAAATTTAACGTAAAGTTATAGCTTACCAAGTGGTCGAGAGCAGATGTATGGCAGTACCAAACTACAGGCTTTGTCCTGCCAGTAACCTCTTGATGTGCGTAGTTGGACACATGCCTCAGATGACGCCTGCTGAGGGTATCCTGAATCCCAAATTCTAATTAAAATATTTTATTAATGTTAATATATAACTAATATTTGTCAATCAATCAATCAATCAATCAATCAATCAATTCATTGGAAACGCTTTTGAATCAGCAGTAGCACAGCACACATGTAATGATGGTGCATCCTTATACAAAACAAAAATAATTTAACACACACACACACACACACACACACACCCGCCCACACCCAAACACAAAAAAATAACTAAACGACAATAGGAAAATACTCCACATACAGATAGCATTGTATAAAATAAAATCCAAAATAAGGCACGACTATAACAATTATTAGTCCTAGGTCTATGATCCCTTCAGACATCATTATCACACCACCACCATCTATTCTACAACTGCCATTACTATCACAATCACTCATCGTCTATCGCCATTAGAATCACCATCGTCATTATCATCATCATCACCATCATCATCATTTTCATCATTATCATCATCAATATCAACATCATCTTCTTCAACTTCATTATATTCCTTATCTTCATCATCATGAACAAGAAGATTATCCTCACAATAATCATGATATTCACCTGTATTATCATTTAATTTACAAACTACTGTTCAATTATTTTCGATGTTTGTTTATTGCAACATGTTTTAGATATCATGGGAAACATACGCAATTTGTGAGTTGTAGTTTGTTCCATCACTCCACACAAAACTGCCAGTCCCTCTATCGGTCAAACCTATCCAATAGTTGGTGTTTTGCTGACCGAGGTCTACCAACTTCTCCTATTGTTAAAAAGAAAAAAATAAAGAAAAAAATAACGACAATAATAAGAGCAACAACAACAATAATAATAATAATAACAATAATAATAATAATAATAATAATAATAATAATAATAATAATAATAATAATAATAATAATAATAATAATAATAATAATAAAGATATTCCGGATATTAACATTAATTTCTGAAAAGCTACCATTTCGTTCGAAATAATTTCAAATGATTTTTTTTGTAGTTAAAAGGATTTTGAAAATGAATTCCACAAGTTTAGAAAATATTGACAAGCTTTTTCTACCAGTTTTTAAATATTAAAAAAATCTGTATCTCATTAACTGTTCCCGTTTTTTTTTTTTTCGTCAAACACCACTTTGCTTTAAAAATCACTTGCACAGTATATCAAACAATTATTTCCCTTCAGAGCCTCGATCTCGCGGAACAAGTTCTTAGTCTGTTATTAACTGTTTCCTGGTTATTACGCACATCTTCAGATGTCGTTCACGTAAAATATTGTACCGAGAGAGTAGAAGCTAGCTCTTATACACATCT